GACCTAAAACACGACTAAAAACTACCCCCAAAACCCAAACCTCTGCTTGGAGAGTATCAAAGAACCGTAGATTGGCGCCAGACACGGTTCTGGATACGCGTGGGCTGTCCAGAACCGCCTGCGGCTGAACCGTACCTCTGGATAAAGCGTGGTCCTGGGTTAAGTATGGTTGTTGATACAACTTCGAATTCTCACCTCTGAGCGGCGCCCCGGGCGTGTAGGTGTGCGAGTCCGTGGTGAGCTGGAAGGGAGCGGCGATGGTCTGCCAGCTGTGCGGGGAGTGCTGCGGCGTCATCCCCGTGCAGGCCATGCTGGGCGCCCCGCTGCCGAAACCGCGCGCCACGGCCAGGAGCGGCGCAAGGAGAACAACACAAGCGAGCATCGTTCTGAAAAAAAGTTAAACTTTTTTCTTCGGGCAATGCTGACTGGTTCTACCAAAAAAGGCTTCAATTAGATCTACTTCGCATTGCAGATAGGTGTCGCTGCTGCGCCTTCTTCAGGTCGAGTGACCGTACGGACGACTAAGCAATGGGTCAAAGGTTGTTGGAAGCCGATGCCGTCCCCCGTGTAGATCTAAATTCAAAGACAAGTACAGCGACGTACTAGAGCATCGTCCGGAAAAAAAGTTTAACTTTTTCCTCAGGGCAATACTGGCTGGTTCTGCTTCGCACTGCAGCGAGGTGTCACTGGTCTTCTTCAGCTCGAGTGACCTTACGGACATACATATGGCGTGAGCAATGGGTCAAAGGTTGTTTAAAGCCGATACCGGCCCCCGTTCTGGTTTATATATACATTACGAATAAGGAAGGTATTGTTGGTGGTAAGTCTATTGCACTTAGGTACTCATTTTTACCTGAGTCGAATGAGGAAATAGGCGTAAAATACAAAAAGAACAGCGCTGAGGCCCGTCCCGGGACTAGAACCCAGAACCCTTTAGTTAGTCCTTATTTCGATGATGTTTGCTGGACCGTTTACTTTGTTGTACTGGTAGCATGACGAAATACTATTAAAGTTATGTTCGCGCGGTGATATCGAGATTTATGAACACCCCCTAGATGACGTAAGTACTAGTCGACAGAAGGGCTCGTTCCCACCCTACTGATATCGGTTAGGACCTCGCCGTTTACTCGGTGTGATAACGAGTGATAAGACTGTTAGGTAAATGTCATGTGAATATGATAAATATAATCAATATTATGTAAAATAGCCCACATAATGGTACATCTGATCATAATACAGCCTCTGCCACACTTCAGTGGGCTGATGGGAAATTAGTACAAATAGACCTCACGGGTCGTATTCTGATTCTATGGCGGGTTATATTAACTCCTCTGATATAGTTTTCTGTCGAGTTCTTCAATTTCTACTATTTTTCTAGCAACTCATCAAACGCCAACACGGAATTCCATATCCCACTTCAAAAGTTACCCAACAAAGTTCCATGTTTAATTATCCAACATGGCGGATAATTGCGGATAATGCTTTCGTCATCATCGGTCACGTGAGGTAAAACACCTTTTAAGGTAGCGACAACAATGAATAGTAATTATAACCACAAAATAAGGCTCTGAGTTCATGAAAACATTGCACAGATGACGTTTAATGAGTCATTTCACACGGGAAGCTGCATGCTGCTAATGTTTATTACGTCACTACAACGGACGGTCCGCCCATTTCTGATGACGTAAGCGTTCTGTTTACGTAAGCGTTCCAGGTGTACACGTCACCACCGTGCAGCTTTGCGGCCTTTTGTCAGCAGGGTCGTGACCTTAACCGGAGATGACGGCTGGAAACATGGCGGAGAGAAAATAGTTGTGTAAGAGCTCGTCTATATTGGTGGTTATTAATTAACTATAACAAAAAAATTGTCATTACTGTAACCTAAATGGGATTGAAGACGAGAGTCATTTTATTGTGAACTGAACTCTATATGATAATGAGAGAAAGATTTTTTTCAATTATATACTTGTACAAGCTTATTTCCCTAGTTTTAAAATTTTAGATAGAAAAGAAAAATTCACATTCCTCATGAAGCTCGATAATCCTCGTATTATAAGCTCCATCTGTTCTTACATTTACAACTGTCGAAGAAGCGAGAAGAAGCAGAACCTGTATAAATGTAGTTTTACTATAGATATATTTTAGCCTACCATCGCTAGTTGCCGTGACCTGTACTTAGTTCGCAATGAGCAAAAATGTACAATAAAGGTCTTTGATTCATTAATTAGCGCATAAAACCCCTCTGTTAGCATCATATACTAGGAGGGCATCAAATGCAATTTCAGAGCAGTAAAACTGGATTTTCAATTCAACCTGTGTTTATTTCTGACCGTTAACGGTTTATTGCCGTTAAT